TGTATGAAAAAATAAACATTTGTGGAACAATAAATTGCTAGGTGAAACAACATTGTGGTGATTAACAACTGAATAATAAGTAATCAGTAAGAGGTTTGAAATGTTTAGAAAAAATAAGCACTGTGTTGATCAGTCATGTCAACTTGTGCGTACGTGCACCATGCAGTTAGCAAACCGTTGCTATAAGTTTACATTTGCCTTCGTTGGGCCTGCAAACGTAAAAAGATACAGGATAGATTATGTGGATGAATTATAATATTTTATCGGGCTTTGGAGCTTAGCTGGAGCAGGAGCGCGGAGCAACTGGAGCAACGATATTTTAGTCGGAGCGAGAGCGGAGTCGGAGCAAAAGAATTTCGAGTGCTTCATGCTCCTATAACAAAAAAGTTTTAGATTGAAAATATAAAAATATTAATTAATGAAATTTAATATTTTATAATTCTATTCTGGTAAAAAAATGTTATGATATCTAGAGTCTTTCATGCCAACGGCTTCATTTCATCAATTTAACTGTACCAGTGAAACAATAAAAACTTTTTTTTTATTAATTGGCTTCAAAACAAACTCCCACTTCGAAGCACAGAGCGGAAAATAAGCGAAGCGGGGGAAAATATTTTATTCTTGAACGTAGCTGGAGCGGAGCAACTCAAAAAAGTGCTTGCTCCAAAGTCCTGTAATTTTATTTAAATATTTAAATTCATTTGAGTTAAAACTTTGCCACTAATTTAATTTTTCAACAAAAAAAGGCTGGAAGATAAGAAAACGAAACCATACGTATCTTCCATGTTTAAATGTCATGAATGCAAACAAAAAAATTAAAAAAGCACTACAAAAACAACAACAACATATACAACAAATACAACGACAAAAACAGCAATAACAACACGAATGGAGCGTCGATGGACAACATGGAAAGCATTTGGAATGAATACTACCCAATTAATTAGCACGCATGTCATTCAAGGTCCAATAAAGTATTTTTAAACAAGTAATCTTACGATATTTTTTAATTCCACAATATTAGCATTTTCATTTTATTGAAAATATTTCATCATACATTCATTCGTTCGATCGTTCATTTATTCATTTAGTTCGTCATTTCGTCATTTATTCCTTTATCAATTCGTCCATTCATTCATACTTTCATTAACATATTCATTCATCCATTCATTCAAATTATAAGTTTGAGTATCAATTCGTTGGGCATCAATCAATCAATCAATGCAATACTACTCATCCATCATAACAATTTATTTTGTTTCTTCTACATTAATAATAATAATAAATTTTATATAAAATAATAATAAGTTTCATATAAAAAGTTTTATATAATATGATAGCACAAATCATAATAAGTTTTATATAATGTAATAACACAAATAATAAACTTCATAAAATATATGGGAAACAAGTGTCGCAGTAGGAATCTGCCGTGATCCTGCAACCAGCCAAACGGAACCTGCAACCAGCCAAACTAAATGTGCAACCATGTTCTTGTGCTGTGCATGTTGTGAGAAATTTCATCATCGTCATTGCACGCGCTGAATATGAGTCACAACATTTCAATTGTTTGTTAGTGTTCGCCACATTTCTGTAGCATTAGAAACATCAACTTATTCAAAAGTGTGTAGTACAATATCTTAGCGCA